TTTTTTTTTCTTATTGTGCACTCTCAGTTGGATCCAACTGGCACAGGAGGAGATTGCTCATCTATCTTTTTCTAGCAGAGCATCTGGTGGATTCAAACTTCATACCTTTGGGATTGCAGTGCAACTTCTTGCCACTCAGCCCCAGAGCTTCCTTGTTGGAAAATGGTTTTGATGCACGCTGGGATTTAACCTTTAGCAGGTCCAATTCATTAATTTTATCCTCTCCTGGTTGCATATTTTTGGCTGTATTTGTCAGCCTTTTTATACCACAAGCCAGGCCTTCTAAGCTTGGTCCTATCTACTTTGTCTCTGAATGATCTTTCTGGTTTCGGGCTTTACCCCAGGTCTCTGAGCTACCTTGAGTTGATTTGTGTGTGTGGTGAGAGATGTGCATCCTGCTTCAGCTTTCTGCAGGTAGTAGTCTAGTTTTGCCAGCAACATTTGTTGAAGAGGTTGTCATGTTTCCCCATTTGATAGAGTTTGTTCCCATGTCTAATATCAGTTCCCCATAGAGAGATGGATTAATTTCTGGGTTCTCCGCAATCTCCCTTATTAAGATCTGTTGCCTTGGAAACTAATTCACTAGCAGTGGGTTAAAGGACTCCTCTCTTCCTCTGTCCACTCAGTATGTGGACTTAAATATGTGCAATACCCTAGCACATCAGTTTGTTAGTTAATTATGGGACACAGTGTATCTTAGAAGTCACTGAGAACCCCATATTCATGGTTGCTCGTTCATTCAGTTCTGCCCTGTAAGGGGCATTTTTGATGTCTGAGAAATCTTTTTTGTTTTTGTCACATTTGAGAAAGAGAGTGTTCCTGGAATCTCAACCGTGGAGGCCAGTGACCTGCTTGGTGTCCTGAATGTCCAGGACAGCCCCATTCTAGAGAATGACTGGGAGTCAGATGTCAAGTATCAATGCTTAGAAACCCTGGCAAGGTGGTTCACTTTACTGACATCAGGGAAAGCTAACTTATTAGCCCCAGGCATACTCCAGTCATACAAAAAACCCCAACAAAATGGATGGCGAAGAGACTGAGATTGTTCACAGCTTCAGTTTGTTTGGCTCCACGGTTAACACTCTTGGCACCAGCAGCCAGGAAATCAAAACATGTATTGCGATGGGAAAGTCTGCTGTTAGGGACCTCTCTAAAGTACTCAGGAGCAACAGTGTCTCTCTGGAGACTAAGGTGCGCCTGATACAGGCCATGGTCTTTGCAATCACTTGTTATGCATCAGAGAGTTGGACAGTGACTAGGGAGGACAGAAGGAGAATTGATGCCTTTGAGCTGTGGTGCTGGAGAAGAGTACTGAATGTACCATGGACTGCCAAGAAAATAAACAGATTCATCCTAGAGAGGGTTAAACCAAACTGCTCCTTGGAGGCAAGGATTCTGGGGCTTCGTCTGACATACTTTGGGCATGTTGCAAGGAGGGACAGATCCTTGGAGAGGGACATCATGCTTGGGAGGGTGGAGGGTCGGCGCAAGAGGGGAAGACCCTCTATGAGATGGACTGAGTCAGTGACTGGGGTAATCGGGATGGGTGTGTCAGAGGCAGTGCGATTGGCACAGGACAGAGCAGGGTTTAGGGCTGTTGTACATAGGGTCACTATGAGTTGCAAATGACTCGACGGCACATAACAACAACAACAACAAAACCCATCAGACGTGCCAGCTTTGGCAGTACAAACTTGGTTTCTGAGCCTGTCTGCACTGTGTGTCTGTGGAATCATGCAGTAAGTCAGCTAGAACCCCCAATGCCTCAGTTTCTTCACCTGTAACATGAGGCCACTAAGTTCCTACCTCATAGGGTGGTTGTGAGGATTTGACAAGTGCATGTCCTTCTGCTCAGCAGAAGGGCTGGAATTTTACCACTGAGCCTGAGTGGGGTCAGGACAAGGCTGACATACCCATCAAGGTGATCAGATAGGGGCTTGTAGGGAGTCAGCCAGAGTGGAGCTGGTGGAAGGTAACAGGTGCAGGATTGATTTTCAGGAAGAACACTTGCAGAATTTGCTGTTGGGTGCATTGGAGCGTGATGAAGAATAAAGGATGACCACAGTGCATGGGCAGAGCCTTAGGGAATACTGGAAAGCCGGTTTCACAGGGGAGGCAATCAAGATGTGAGCTTTTTTTAAAAAAAAAAATTTATTATTTTTGTGTACCGTCAAATTGGATCTGACTGGCACAGGAGGAGACTGGCTCCCTTCTCCAGCAAAGCAACTGGTGGATTTGAACCCCGCATGTCTGGGATTGCAGTGCAGCTTCCTGCCACTAGGCCACCAAAGCTCCCTAAGACATGAGCTTTTAAGAGAGGTTAAGTGCGGGATGCCTGTTGGAAAGTCAAGTGGAGGATTCTCACAGGCAGCTCAGAATCTGGCAGGGCACTGAGGGATGTTTGGGAGTTGGCTTAGCACTGAGTGGGGACCTCTGAGGGTCACTGACAGAGCAGGGGTGTCAGGTTTGTGAGCCATCTCCATGGCATTCACGATGAGAAGGTGGCAGGGAAAAAACTGCAAAGGAGCCTGACAGGGAGCAGCAGCAAGGAAGGGAGAAAGCGAGGGGTGAGTGGTATCCTAAAGAGCTCAGTCGGCCTCCTAGGGGGGCAGTCTTAGTTGGTACTGGAGCCCAGGATTTGGGGACCAATGGCCCAGGTGTGCCCAATGGCATGTATTAATTAGCCTGGGCCTTCCTGTCAGGCTAGCCTGAGTGGCCCTGAGGGAGGACCTGGTTTGCAACCCCAAACTTCCAGCCATTCTCAGCAGAAAGCCAGGTGTCTGTCCCATCCCCATGCTGTAAACTCACCTTGTCGTTTTATCTCATTTCTTTCAGCAAATGGAAAGGATCCTGAAGAAAGCATCAAAGACGCACAAGCAGAGAGTGGAGGTGAGCCAAGACCTCATGTTACAGCGGATAGAAAGCAGGGCCAAGTGGGCCATGGAGTGTTAGGGGAGGGGTCCTAGGGTTCTCCAGAGAATCAGAACCAGCAAGACAGACAAATAGGGACTAGGATGAAAGGCTGGTGATCTGCTTGTGAAAAATCACTCCATGAAAGCAAGCCTATGGGTCACACAGTCCACAGCCAGTCATGGGGCTGGCAAAGAGCCAGGCATTGCTTTATTCCAAGTCTGGAGAGGACTCAGCCGCCGCTCACAACAAGATAAAGATATATGTATGCTTCCTTTCTCTCTCACACACACAAACACAGAGAAGGAGATTTCTTTTGATGAATTGTCTTGTGAAACTTAGGAGAGCTGACAGGTCCAAAATCTATATATAAGTCAGGAGACAAGCTGGAGACTCAGTCAAGTGTCCCAAAATTGACAGGTCTGGGAGAGGGGCATTTTGGCAGGATTCTCCCATGGGTTCTGTTCCGAAGGCCTTCAACTGCTTGGATCAGGCCCACCCACATTGTGGAAGGTGACCTGCTTAAAGCCTGCTGATTTAAATTCTTGTTAGCTGCTGTCCAGTTGAACATCAACTCCTGGACACCTCACCTATAATGAAATCAAACCTTCCTGGCCCTGGGCCATCCCCAGTAGTTGTGACCAGACTGTTTCCACACTTGGGTTTTTTCCCTTAGTTGATTTTCACAAGTAAAGGCTTAGCCTTTCTTCCACATCCATCTTAGTCTGGAAGCTCCTATGAAACCTGTTACGTATCACAGCAACACTTAAACCTCCACCAACAGATGAGCGGGGCTGTGCATGCAGTGCACTGACTGGGAACTGAACCTGAGTGTTTAGAATAGAAGGTGTGAATTCTACAACCAAACCAGCACAGATCATCTAGACCAGTATTTTGACCAAAGAGCTAGACACCATTGCCCAGTTAAGATGGCACAAAATTAACCATTCTTACCAGGAAATTAAAAGACAAATTGCATGGGGAAAGTCTGCTGTCAGAGACCTCTCCAAAGTCCTGGGGAGCAACGATGTCAGTCTGGAGACTTAAGTGTGCCTGATACAGGCCATGGTTTTTGCAATTATTTGCTATGCATCAGAGAGCTAGACAATGACTAGGAGTGATAGAAGGAGAGTTGATGCTTTGGTACTGGAGAAGAGTATTGAATATACCATGGATTAGTAGGAGAACGAACAAGTTCATCCTGGAGAAGGTGAAGCCAGGCTACTCTTTGGAGGCAAGGATTCTGAAGCTCCATCTGACATACTTTGGACATGTTGCAAGACAGGATCCGTCCTTGGAGAGGGACATCATGCTTGGGAGGGTAGAAAGACAGCACAGGAGAGGAAGACCCTCAAAATGGATTGATTGAGTCACTGGGGTAATGGGGATATGCGTGTTAGAGACACCATGATTGGCCAGGGATAGAGCAGAGTTTAGGGATGTTGTACATAGGGTCGCTATGAGTCACAGGTGACTCGATGGCACATAATAACAACAACAAGAGTCTTCCTGAGGCTACTCAAGGAGGATCCTGGGGTTCAGACATCTGTAGCACCTGGCAGAGTGGGTTTAAGGGGCGTGACGGGGGTTCCGGGAGGAGACAGGACGTAGATGTAGGGTGAGCAGGTCTGTGTGCCCTTCAAACCGTTTGCGGTTGAGCTGAACAGGTTTTTTTCCTTGACTTTCCTAGGACTTCAACAGGCACCTGGACACACTGACAGAGCATTATGACATCCCCAAAGTCAGCTGGACCAAGTAGCCTCCTGGCCCCTGGGCATGGTGTGGCCTCAAAGAGAAATGGAAGACAAAGTTGGAGGTTATGTCTGGTCCCTGTGGCATTTTCCAGAAATACTCTTATGCCCATGCCTTGGTGTTTTCTTCCGAGATAGTGCTTTTTTAAATTGGCTTTTCACCCTGGAACTTGTTTTCAGTAAAATTGCCCTTTTGCTCATTTCACTTATGGACTCTCAGTCACCCACAGAATAAACCTTTTTAGTGTGGACTGGGAAGCGTTGGACCTTTACCAGAGCTTATGATTGTTTCTGTGTACATGCCATGCAAGAGTATCTTTCTCTAAAATGCATTAAGCTTGAGGACAACAAGCTAGCTCTGGTGGTCCTCAGATAAAACTGACTCCAGAGAATAAGGAGCTAATCCTGGCATGGCCTAGCCTGTGAAGACCTCCGAGTGGGCTGCCCTTTTAAGTCCCCAGAGATTAGCGCTTAAGCTGTTCCATTCAGAACTAGGAGAAGCTGCTCACAGCCTTCCTGCCTGGGATGCAGAGAATGGAAAGATAGAATGTCCCACCTGGTCACTTTCAGAGTCCATGACTAGCTTATAGCTCCTTTCCTAAACTCCTCATTCCAGATACTTCTAATGGGTGTCACCAGGGCTCCAGTGACAGATATTAATAATTGAACACAGCTTTTTTGTAATGGAACCCAAATAGCTCACCTGCCCTTCAACCAAGGTCCCAAGGAGTTTCCACTGTTAGAAGTTGACCCATATCCTGGAGCCTGTTGGGTGACAGGCCCAAGGCTAAACCCTGGCCAACAAACAGGTGTGCGATCCAAGGTCCCTGGGGCCCTGTGTTGAATGAGGCTCAGTCTGCAGACTCAACTCGTGAAGACAGTCTCCGCTGACATAGCTTCAGAAAGAGCAACAAAATGAAAAAGAAAGTTAAGTTTGGGCTTGAGGTGGTTGTATGTGAATTTCAGAATAAAACCACCACAAATTATTAAATATGAAGCTGTGTGTCTTATTTAAAAGTGGTTTCCATAAAGGACACATATATGTCAGAGGACTGAAAAAACATCCCTGAGTGGTGCAAACATTTTCTGCTCCAGTACTAACCGAAAGGTTAGTGGTTCAAAAGCGCCCAGCTGTACCACAGAAAAAAGCCCGAGCAATGACCTTCTGCAAAGATTTTCTGTTGGTTAGGTGTCGTTTGCGTCAAGTCTCACTTACAGTCACTCCATATGACAACAGAATTGCCCCACAGGGTTTGTTTGGCTATAAACTTTATGGAAGCAGATTGCTACGTCCATAGAGCCAGCTGCTGCGTGAATTGGAACTGCCTGGCTTTTGGTTAACAGCCAAATTTAGCCATTTGCACCCTCGGTCAAACAGTCATGATAAAGCTTTGTCTCACATACTTTTGTCATGTTGCTAGGAGAGGTTATTTATTGGAGAGGGATATCATGCTTGGAAACATGGAGGGTCAGCTAAAGAGAAGAAGACCCTCAACCAGGTGGTATCTGCAGCAATGGGCTTACGTGTCAGATTTTGAGGATGACAACAGGATAAGACAGGGTTCAGATCCTTTTTTCATAGGGTTGTCATGAGACTTACTCGCTGGCACCTAACAGCAGTGACCACCACTGGTCAAAAACTTGAGCAGTTCTACTCTTAACACACAGGGTCATTAGGAATTGATCAATTAAAGACAAATGTGGGGGGGGGGTGATGTTTTAATCCAGGGATAGGAGGAAGGGAAAAGGGAAAGTAACTTTTTAGAGGGTACTGACCTGTTAAAGGGGCTGGAGAAGTAGAACAACGCATATACAACACGATGAACATAATCACTGCATTACAAATTACAAATATTGTTGAAATGGCAAATGTTTTGCTATGTTTCTACAATAAAGGAAAACAAACTTCTTTTGTTCAGTATGGTTTTTACGGGGATAATCCAGGCAATACAGGTACTCACGCCTGTTCACTGACTTTGACACCAACAGGTGACAGGTGACAGGCTGAAGTGGCAGTGGCAAGGCCACCTCGCCCTTCCCTCTGAGCTTCCTAGACCTGCCCCGACCCTCCCCCGCAACTAAACTGCAGCTCCAAAAGGCCTAGGCCCGCAGGTGGGGTCCACCTTTGGTATCTCTCACCAAACGTGGCGAGGGCCCCGGGGGATCATGGAGGCGGAGGGCGAAAGCAGGCTCACACCTGGATTCCGGCATCCTGCAGGCGGGGGCGGGGCGGGGCGGGGCAGGGCAGGGGAGACACCCGGGGCTTCTGCGCCTGCGTGGGGTCTTCCTCGCGCCTGCGTCCTGCCGGCAGCTCCTCCCAGACCGGACATAACGGTCCGTGCGGGGCTGCCGGAACGGAAGTGCAGGCGGACTGTCGCAGGGTGCGTTCGCCCTTGCTCCACACCCAGCCCTGTTCGTAGCCGAGGCCGCCGCGGACGCCTCCAGCTGCCGCCATGTCCGCTAGCGCCGTCTACGTGCTGGATTTGAAGGGCAAGGTACTCGGGGTTCCCCACCCTCCTTGTTGCCAGGCAACCGGCGGGGCCTCGCCCGAACCTACCCGCGTTGCTAGGTAACTGGCCTTTGGGCCCCACTCTGGTGTGAGACTTCATTCACTCTCACTGTCTTTGCGGCTTAGTCGGAGCCGGCTCCTAACTGACCCTTCAGCGGATGTCTCGGGCTGTAGATCGCACGAGAATGGAGAGTGCCCATCTTTCTTCCGCAGAATCCCCCTGGTGGATTTGAACTGCCAGCAGCGCTCCTCCCTACAGACGAGACCACTGGACATGAGACGGGGGGAGGTCCCAGGGCCGTTCCAGTGGACCCCTCCTATGGCTGAGAAAGCGAGGGGCCCCTTAGAGCCCCAGAGCCCCGCCTTGTTGCTAGGTAACAAGAGGGCTCCAGGACCCACCCTTGCAGTGCGCTAACTCTGGACTTCCACGGAAAACCTGGGAGGCCTGGCGAACCTTGGCCTCAGATGGCGTGGCGGTGACAGCGTGCCCTGGGGCTCCATCCGCCCTCGCAGCTGCCACGCTTCCCTGGGCGCTTTGTTCATCCCAGCCCCCCCGTTAGCATTGCTCAGCGGAAGTTCTGTACAAGGGTTAGGGCAGGTGGGCTGTAGAAGCCCACTGTGCACAGGGGGGAAAGTGAGGCACACAGGCCTCAAGACCCTACTGTCCAAGTTCGCACAGGTCGAGGGATCTAGAAGTCTAACCCAGAATCACCGTTGGTTCAGGTGCTTTTTGTGACGCTGGTGCTGTGTCCCAACAGTGCTGTCACTGAGTCCCCACTGTATGCATGGTGACCCCATGTGTGTGCTCCAAGAGCTTTTTCAGGCCTTTCTTCCAAGGGACTCTAGGTGAACTCGAATCACCAGCCTTTTCGTTAACAACCAGCTGCGTATCATGTGTACTCTCCAGGATCTCTGAAGTGTTACTTGTTAGTTTGTCAATTCCAAGTTATAGACCAGGAGATCCCACTATGTGCAGAGTACTGCCTCTCACAAGCAGGTCATCAGGCTTTCCACCATGCTACCTAGTGGGTTTGAAATGCCAACCTGTAGATTAACACCCAAGCACAAAGTGCTTGAGCTACCCAGCAACCTTGTGTATGTGAGGATGTCTAAGAAAAATGCTTAAAGGAAGGTTTGTGGAAGCCTTTGTTCAGTGCCTTCTGGCCTCCTCCAAGCACACGGGGTTTTGGGGAGGAGGCAAGGCAATGGCCTCTGGCTTCTTGTATATGGGAATGACAAAAATAGAACCTGACTTGTTTGACATTGATCTTGGAGATCAGTGAACCTGATAATGATTACTGAGAGGCACGTGAGTGTCAGGTCCTGGGGCCTGGGAGGTAAAGGTAGAGGAGTCAGAGCAGAAAACACACCGTTTTGGGGAGTGGACATCCCAGGGCTGCCCTGCGGATGCCACCCAGAATCAGCACTTGTGGGGCCCATGCTGCGTTTTCCTCCCAGCCTTGTCAAGGTGGGGAAGATGGGTACCCCAGGGGTAGGAGAAGCAGTGCACACCATGCCTTGCACCCCTGCTCTGCTTTCTCCCTGGCCCCTGAGTCTGGCTCACTCGTTGTTTCACCAAGTGTGTGAGCATTTAGAACTGCTAGTCACGAGGTCCCTGTGGCCATGGGGTCCAGGTGAGCCAGCATCCATCCTATAGCACAGCACAAGGTGAGGCCTTGGCAGGTGACTCCCCTGGGGCCTTGCTTTCCTCATGGCACAGGTGAGGCTTTTTCAGTCATGTTGTGGGGACTCGCTGAGCAGTGTGCTCAGAATGTTGATCCTGATGGCCATCCCACAGCCTTGTGGTCCAGCAGGGAGCCACACATGTCAGTGGAGGCAGTACTGGGTGGTCAGTTCCAAGTAGCCACAGGGCAAGGCTAGGCCTGAGGGGTTTTGCAATTTCATTGTTGTTGCAGGAAGGGAAGTGGTTATGAAAGACTTCCTGGAGGAGAAGGATGTCAGGTCTGGATTGGGCAGGTAACCAGGCAGTGGTCCGATTAGTAGGGAGGAGCTCCAGTGGGCACTCGGGGTGAGGGACAGCCACTGGGGTTTGGGAACCCAGGTAATGACCACATGTGGAGGCAGCACAGAGAGGCTGTGGCTGCTGAGATGTACAGCGAGAGCACACAGAGTCCCCCACGGTGGAGAGATTGTTCCCCAGAGAAGGGGGACAGAGGGACTCAGGAAGGGGGAGCTATGGAGACTTTGTGGCCAAGTGAGGCATCCCCAGTCTTGCCTTTTGGGAAGCTTCTCCCATCTCAGCGCTGTGCTGGCCTTTAGTCTTCCCTTCCCTGTGGATTGCATGCTTCCAGGCTTGTCTCCTGAGCAGACAGCGTTTGGCCAACACAAATGAATGTATCTGAAGCAATTCCTGACTGCAGGTCTCTGACAATCAGAGCCTCAACCCCCAACCCTTCCTGCGGCCTCTTGGGGCTCCTGACTTGCTAACTGCCTCCTCTAGTACGTGCTGTGGTGCCACCTTCAATTATTTGTCCTCCTGTCTCTCTCATGGTGTGCCCTCCCCATCTGTTTCCCATTGGATACTGGGGCCCCTTGGACTCAGGCCTTGGACCAGCTCTCTGTACCACTCCTCTCCCAGATGTGCCAGAGGAGAGAAAACCCCAGCTGCTCTCAAGTCCATTCCAACTCATGGGTACCTCTTATTTCCAGAGTAGAATTACCCCTTATGGGGTTTTTTTTGGCTGCGATCATTACCCAAGCAGATAACCAGGCCTTTCTTCCATGGTACAACTGGGTGGATTCAAACTGCTAAGTCTCTCTCTCTCCTTTTGAGTCATAACCAACTCATAGCTGACCCTCCAACAAGTTTTCAGAAGCTGTAAATCACAAGGGAGGAGATTGTCCATCTTTTACCTGCAGCGCAGCTGGTGGATTTGAACCACATGCCTTTGGGTTGGCAGTGCAGCTTCTTATCACGAGGTCACCAGAGTTCCCTCCTCATAGACTAGGCCAGTGCAAACTGTTCACACCATTCAAGGTCTAGTTATGTCAGCGACACTCAAATTTGTACCCATCTGAACTGCTCAGGGACCCATGGCCACTACATACTCAACATTATTTTAAAAACAACAAACCTCTTAACACCCCATCACCCCTAGATCTTCTCTGCACTGTGCACACTTCAGAAACCCCCACCTATCCAGCCAGTCACTTCACCAGATCATTATTCTACCTCCTTTACCTCCTCACCCGGTGCTGATCCCACAGGGCTCTTGGCCCCTCCCCTGGCTGGACTCTAGATGTACGTGCAGCTGTGAGCAGCCAGATGGAGGTGGTCGTGCAGCAAGCCTGCAGGGTGGTCGCTTTGTGGACACTGAGGAGGCATGAAGCCAGTGGGGTAGAGGGGGCTGCCCTTATCCTCCGGCAGGGCGAGCTGGGCTGAGGCTGCAGTGTGAGGAGAGCAGGGTGAGGACTGTATGCACAAAGCCCTGGGCAGGCGTGGTGTGTTTGGAGGCAAGCAGGGCTACAGTGGAGTGAACAGGGTTAGCAGGGGAGGGGTTAAGCTGCTTCGGGCCCTTCAGATGTGGACACAAGGCTCATGATATGTCCTTGGTGTAGGACGGAGGCTGCGTGGGCAGCAGGGGCAGCAGGGGGAGACGAGCCTGACATGGATTTAGACAGTCTCTCTCACTCTTTGTAGAGAGAGGAGTGGCTGAGGGGAACTGTCCCTCCTGGTTTGTCCTGTTCATAGCCTGCTAGGACCTGCGATCCTACTTGAGGCCATTCCCAGTCTCTCCCTTGGGCCTTGGTGTGGAGGGCAGGCCTCGAGCCTCCACTGGTCCTAGCTCTGCTCCTGCCCTAGAAGAGGGACACTGAGATGTCCACGGGTACCCCAGGGCATAGCGGCATGATGTGTGAGAACAGTGGCCTCCCCCTCATGAGGGCAGTGAGCAGAGGGTGAGGGTATGTGGATCCCATTGCCTAGGCCATCCCCAGGTCCCTGAACCACAGGCTGAGAATGTGTGTTTTTATGTGTGTGTCAGGGGTATCTGTCAGACCACGGGGGAGGGTGCTGTTCACGGGTGTTCTCGTCATGGTCCTGTGTGATTAAGGACAGTCGTTTCATCATGCACCGCGGGTCCGGAGCAGTCTGAGTGGGTCACCTCAATGGCAGCACCGCAGGCCTTGCTGAGCCTGCAGCCACAGCAGCTCCAAGTACACCCGGCACACGTCTCCCTGCTGCGCTTTCAGGCCCTTTCCATTCCTTTCCAAGCTCTGCTTTCCACGTAATAAACTGCAGGTGTCCGAAGTGTACAGTGGGTGAGTGAGGCCGTGTTTCCCTGCTGCCTCCTCGCCCAGCACAGCTGTTTCTTGTGTTCTAGGACTTGAGGACATGCTCTCCTCTTCAGCGTCAGGATCTGAGCCTCACTCACATTGTCATGGGTCCCCCTCTGTCCCCTGCGGTAGTGTGGATGGATAGATAGACTGTTTTTCTCTTCAGGTGTCTTTTGCATTGGCTCCAGTGTGTCTATTGAGAGTAAACTGCTCTGAGGGTGAACGCCCTGCAGGGGACTGGCTGGGTCACATGGTGGTCAATGTGTAACTTTAGAGAAACTATCAGACTTGTTTTCTCACGTGATTGCCCTGTTGTGCGCCCTGTCTGCAGTGGACGAGGCCCCCGGTACTCAACACCCTCATCCGTAAGCTGTGAAAGAGCCAGAAACGGGGCTTCCCTGGGCCTCATGCAGACCTCCAGCCACTTCCCTGGGGGCTCTGACACGAGCAGGAGGGGACCATGGGGAGAACCCTCTGGGGTCCCCAGGCTGTTCTGGTTGTCCCCCTCACTTTCTGGAGTGCCCTCTGGCACACTTTCCTTACAGCACTCTCTTCTCCCCCGTGGACAGGGCCTTGATGGGGTCTCCTGGTGGGTCTGCCCCAGGCACCTGGTTGAAGGACAGAGAGAAACCACCACACTCTCTTCCCCGCTCCCAGGTGCTTATCTGCAGGAACTACCGCGGCGATGTGGATATGTCGGAGGTGGAGCACTTCATGCCCATCCTGATGGAGAAGGAGGAGGAGGGCATGCTGTCGCCCATCCTGGCCCATGGCGGCGTCCGCTTCATGTGGATCAAGCATAACAACCTGTACTGTAGCCTTTTGGTGGAGGGTGCACGTGTGTGTAAGGCTGCAGGTCTGTACAAGTGGGAGCTGTGAGCCACGGCTCTGTCCAGGGCTGCGGGGAGGGCTGGCGTCCTAGACTAGCCGTTCTCAAAGGGCCCTTGGTGGCAGCAGGATTGGAGCCTGTAAACCAGGGTTCTCTGTGCTTAGGACTTGACTGTGCCTCTTTGCTTATCCCTCCTTGTCCTCAGTGCTGTGAGGAGCATGACAGTGGTCACACCATTCCCCGAAGCTGCCCTGGCCCGACAGCAGCAGTCCAGCATATGTGTGGGCGGCAGTTGTCAGAACTCGGCAAAACTGGGTAGACCCGTTCTCAGTCGGGCCCCACATCCTCACGTGGGTGCTGGGGAGCCCATGCGAAGGCTCCTTCTGGCGCCCTTGGCGGGTGTGCCTTGTGTGGGTGGCTTCCTTTCCCTCCCACCTGCCGGCTGGTTGTGTTGTTGGAGAGGAGGGTTCCCAGCAAGCCTATGTGTCTGCTGTGCCCAGGGACTCTCCTTGTCAAGCCCTGAGCTGGTGTCATGTCCTGAGCGCTGCCCCTCTGACTTGACTCATTCCTGTCCTGGCAGCTGCAGGATACTCACTGAAGCAGGCAGGGAGTGAGGTGGGACTAGAGCAGAGCTAGATAGCAGGATTGATCAGGGCTGGGCCAGGAATGTTACAGCAGAAACTGGGTGCAGCAGGAACACAGTGCTAGGGTAGCCCTGCTGCCACCCCTGAACTGTGCCTCCACAGTTCCCTCTGCCCCATCTCCCTACCCTTGGATGTCTGTGCTCAATTCTTCCTCTTAGCATCCTCCCCTGAACTGCCAGTTAAGTCCTTGGTGGCCCTGTCAGCTAAGCACCCCCTCTTAACCAGGTAGGTTTGATGTGAACTCAGGGCCCCATAGCCTTGCATTGGGACACAGTGTGGTTCAGAGTGGATTTCCTGCCTTTTGAATGGAAAGCCTGGATATCAATCCAGCCAGTGCACCTCATACATCACAGCCCCCACTGTCTCCCAGTGATCTTAGGTGATGCTATGATATTGAGCATTTTTCCATGAAGCTTCCAGACTAAGACAAGCAAGGAAGACAGACTTGGTGATCAACTTCCAAAACTCAGCCATGGAAACCCCATGGATCACAATGAGCTGATCCATAATTGATCAGAAGGAAGGTACAGGGCTGGGCCTGGGGTTGTCATGATTTAGCTGCAAATTCAGTGGCAGGCCTGGCTTGAGGGGATGTGGTGGGAGGGCACAGGGGGACTCAGAGCTCCTCCCCGATGTCTGAGAACTGGTGTTGGCGTCCAGGAGCTCCTTAACTCACCATGCAGTGGTCGCCACCTCCAAGAAGAATGCGTGTGTGTCTCTGGTCTTCTCCTTCCTCTATAAGGTGGTGCAGGTGAGTCTGGCATGGGGTACAGGGGGTGGCTTTCTGTTCTGCAGATTGGGACCTCCCTTTACATGGCTGCAGCCATTTGCTCCCCTGCCCTGGTGGGAGACACAAGTAAGCAGGAGAAAGGGATCCCAGGCAAGTGTGGGACGTGATCTGGCGGCTCTTGTGCACAGGCTCTGGCTTAGGAATAGCTTTTGGTGCCTCTGGAGGCATCGAACATGACCCCCAACCCTGTGAGTCTCCAACTGACTGTTAGAGGTCAGGAAGGTGGAAGAGCAAGAAGAAGGATTACGCTGGCCTGGCATTTTCATGGAGATTTAAAGACAGAGGCCTGGGACTCAGCCTGGAGAGTCACCCAGAAGGATGAGATGGCAGAGAGGGAGGTGGTAGCATGTGCAAAGGCCCTGAGGCAAGGGTGCATGTGGTGAACTTGGGCCATCAGGGAGACCAATAGGCCCAGAACAGGTAGTAAGGGTGGTGCTCAGGGCAGAGGTCAGCCAGGTGGAAAAGGGTTAGCCCGAAGGGCGAGGAATGTCAAGTAAGACCTCAGGATTTATCCCAGTTTTGACAAGAAGCTGTTGTAGACTTTAGGTAGGAAGCTGATGTGTCCTGAATTGATTAAAATTAGTTTTTCTGACTGTTGAGTAGAGAAAGAACCAGAAGGCAACAGGGAAGTCAGTGAGTGTCTGCTGTGGGTCCAGCAGAGAAGTGATGGGAGCTGGATGGCTCTCTCACCTCTGGGTAGTGTCCACTACAGCCTTCCTCAGGAATATTGGGAGCAGAGACTTTGGGACAGGGAGACAGGTGCAGTGAGCCTGCTAGGGAAGGCCTGTGTGTGGCTGTGGCACTGGGATGTGTGGTGACTGTTCTGTTGTAAAACTGTCAGTGATAGTGGTCCTAGAGGCTGAAGGTGGGGAGCAGGCAGTAGAAGGGTCCCATCCCCCTCCACTCTGTGGTCAGTATTCGGGGTGCTGGGAGAGTCAGAAGAACCTCCTGTCCTGTTCCCAGTAGCTCTTGCCTCCACCTGTGTCATCCGCAGTGCAGGCCAAAGGGTGGAAGGAAAGTCAGAATTAAAGAGACTTGGAAGGGACCTGACGGAGAGACAGTGTTTATGAGGGAGCAACTGAGGTACCTTTGCACCTCCCAGGCTCCTGTCCTGCCCTGGTCCCTCTAAGCCTATATCGTTAACCTGGAAATGGGCAGAATCAGCTTGTGAGCTTTGGGGTTTGAGGGAGGGGGAGTTTGTGCGTGCATTCATTTGTTTATTCCTCTCCCCTCGTGCACCCCCACTTGCTCTGCTTGCCCTCAACACCCTGCCCAGGTGTTCTCAGAATACTTTAAGGAGCTGGAGGAGGAGAGCATCCGCGACAACTTCGTCATCATCTACGAGCTGCTGGACGAGCTTATGGACTTTGGCTACCCGCAGACCACGGACAGCAAGATCCTTCAGGAGTGAGTCGGGGATCCTGTCAGGCACAGCCCTGGGGAGCAGGAGTCAGCGGGTCATTCACCAGTCCCCAGCGCACCCCATCAGTGTTAGAGCATTCATGTCGTCAGGTGTGGAAACGGTAGAAGCAAACATTTTTTCCCATGGTTGCACCCCTGTCTTCCTGCCAAGCCCTGGCTTTACAGAGAGGCTGTCATGCGTTGTGGGTCTCCCATGTAACAAGCAGCTTCCATGACCGGCTCTGATTCATTTCCTGCTCTGAGCAGCTTTTTTATGACTGTCACAAGTGAAGTTGTGATAAGTGCCTTCCTTGGCAATCCTGCCCTTCAGACAACAGTAGTTATTGTCAACTGACTCTGCTAAGCTGTTTTCCTCTGCTCAGTTCAGCCTTGCAGTCTGAGGGCTATCTCCTCATTTTATGGGAAGCTGAGGGAGGGAATCACTGACCTCACATGTGACCATTCCCTTAAACAGCTGAGTGGACTGGAAGGACCAGGCCACACTCCCCTGGCGTCAGGCCTGCCATACACCAGGCAGGGGAGCGCTCAGCCCCATTTTTGTTTGCAGTCCAACACTGGCTCTTTGGGTCCCCCAAAGTGATGTGGAGGGTTACTTGTTACTAAAATATGTTTGGTGTAAGTAGTAAGGTATTTTTTAAAAAGGCATGAAAACTATACACACCAAATTATATGTCAGCAAAACTCCCACAGTTACAACCCAGTCGTATTAATGTGTTTCATGCTATGCTGTCATTCTTTTTTTTTTTTTTTAATTTTATTTTATTATTTTAGTGTGAGTGTACCGTCAAATCATATCTGACTGATACAGGAAGAGATTGTCCCTCCTTCCCCGGCAGAGCATCTGGTAGATTCGAACTGTGTGCCTCTGGGATTGTAGTTGCAACTCCTTGCCACTAGGCCACCGGAGCTCCCCTTATACTGTCATTCTTGATGTCCATTTCCAAAAAGCCCGCAACAATGAACATAAACTCACTGTTCTAAACAAAAGAATCCTTTGCAAGCCATCCCAGGCTAAACAGGCCTTGCCTTCTGGTGGCTGGTGGCATGGTGGCATTGGGCGCTGTTTGCCGGTCAGTCAGGATGCCCCACCCATCTCCTGCCCTCCCCTCTGTCATTGCCCAGGGTCAGGGTGGTGGTGTGGTGACAGTGCTGTAACTCTGCGATTACTCCAAAGGTACATCACTCAGGAAGGTCACAAGCTGGAGACTGGGGCCCCGCGACCCCCTGCCACTGTCACCAACGCAGTGTCCTGGCGATCTGAGGGCATTAAGTACCGGAAGAATGAGGTGTTTTTGGATGTCATCGAATCAGTCAACCTCTTGGTAGGCTTTTTAAGAACTCTTGTCTTCTTTATAATAGAAAATGACCAGACTTAAAACTGGCAAAGCCCTGAGAAATGCTAGTTCAGCTGCTTGTTGAGCATGGCTGCTTTGTCTTTACTAGCGTGAGTCCCTGGGTGGTGAACAGTTGGCACTTGGCCACTAACTTAAAGGGCGCTCTGGTGGCTGCATGATAAGGAATTGTGCTGCCAACCCAAAGGCAAATGGTTCAAATCCACTGCTCCCTGGGAGAAAGATGGGCAGTCTCCTCCCAAGCAGTTTACAGTCTCTGAACGCCCACTGACGGGTCACCTGTGAGCAGGTTCTGATTCCGTGGCACATCACTAACGTAAAGGTTGGCGATTTGAACCCACCCAGCAGTGCCAGGGAAGGAAGGTCAGTCAGGTGGCCTACTTCTGTTAAGACTGCTCCCAGGAAGACCCAGTGGAGCTCAGTTTTATTCTGTAACACATGGGGTCACCAGAAGTCAGATCTGGTTCAGTGGCAAACAACAGCTTTTCTTCTGAGTTAGAATTATATCTAATTATTATTTTTTTAAAAAAAAGTCTCGCTTACAAAAAAGTTCAGGGCTCCTGTAATTGGAGCGTCCAGCTGTCTTTAAGCATTTAATGTCATCCTTTCAGACCTCTTTCTGTAGATAAATAAACTCAAACTGCTCTTTCTCTATAAAGATAGACCATAACAATGTGGGTCTACAACTTGGTGTTTTGTTTTAGTTGGTTTGGGGGTGGTTTTTTTGGTCTGTTGCTGTTTTATATGTGTTTGCCTTTTCTTTTAATCCTATTTTCATTCTGTGAACTTTAGCGTATTTATAGGTTTGTGTACTCACCCCCATAATCTGGATAAGAACAGCTCCATCACCCCAGAAAACTCCTTCGTGCTGTCCCCTTGTGGTCACCCCCTCCACCAGCCTTATCCCTAAGCCCTGGCAATAGCCCACCTGCCACTCCAGTTTTGTCTTCTTGAGACTGTCGCGTAGATGGAATCACAGCATGTAACCTTCTGAGCCTGGCTTTCACTCAGCGTAACACCTGTGCCGTATCTCCAAGTTGTTGTGTATATCAGAAGCTTGTTTCTTTTTACATTTGTTTGTTTGTTTTGTATTTGTGGTGTGGATGCATGACAGTCTGTTAATCCATTCACTCATTGAAGGACACTTGGGGTCTTTCTAGGGGTTTTGGTGACTGGGTTTTTTTTGGGTGGGGGATTTTGGGGTGGGGTTTTTTGCAATTATGAATAAAGTTGCTATAAACATATTGTGTCCAGGTTTTTGTGTGGACATAAGTTTTCATTTCTCTAGGGTAAATACCCAGGAGTGGGATTGCTGGGTCACACGGTAAGTGTATGTTTAACTTTATAAGAAACCGCCAAGCCCTTTTTGAGAGTGGCTGCACCCTTTTACACGCCCACCTGTGGTGTATGAGGGTTGGGGCCCGCGTCCTGTCAGCATTTGGTGTCCGTATTTTCATTTTTGCCGTTCTCATAGGTGTGTAGTGATGTCTTCTCAGAGTGTTAATCTGCATTGCCCTAAGAGCTAATAGTGTTTAGCATCTTTTTACGTGTTTGTTCACCCTCCTTACATCCTCTTTGGGGAAGTGTTTCTCCGTGTCTGTTGAGTACTTATGAAGTGGGTGCTTGATTTTCTTACTGTTGAATATCGGAAGTTCTTTATTTACTTATGATATAAGTCCTTTGTCAGAGAAGTGATTTGCAAATATTTGCTCCCTGGCTTGTAGCTTATCGTTTTATTGTCTTAGTTGTAACATGTACAAAGCAAGTTGTGAATTTTTATAAAATCCAAGTATCAATATTTTCTGGTTTGTGCTTTTTATGTCCTAAGCCCTGTTGTAACATATAAATACTCTCCTAAAAGTTTTAGGTGTCACATTAGATCCAAACTAGAGTGTGAGGTTTTTTCCAAGTTCATTATTTTTTCCCATATGGTTGCCCAGTTGTTCTAGTCCCTCATTAAAAAGACTATTATTAGTTCTCCATTGAATCGCACCATTGTCATGCCCAAAGTATGTGAGACGGAGCCTAAAAATCCTACTCTGTGTGTTCTCCTTTATACTTTTGGTAGAATTCTCTTAGAAAACTATCTAGGATTTCTTTTCAGGAAGTTTTTACTACAGATTTAATTTTTATCATATCCCCACTTTATCCTATAAAGTGAAAACAGTCTGCAGTGATAGGCTCTCTTTCCAATATTGGTAATTCCTGCCTCTCATTTTTTTGTTTTACAAATTTCACTAGAGATCTAGCAATCGCAGACTTTTACAAAGCATCAGCTCTTGATTTCATTGTTTTTTCTCTATTGTTTCTCTGTTTTCAGTTTTTACACTTAGATTTGGCATTTTCTTCCTTCTCCTTGGATTGGGTTTCTTTTGCTTTTTATTTTCTAGTTTTTTTTAAGGTGGAAATGGAAGTTATTGAGGTCTTTCCTTTTTTCCAGCGTAAACCCTAATGCCATGCCATTTCCCCCTGAGAACTGCTTTAGGTGCATCTCACAACTGACATGTTGGATTCTAGTTTTGTTCAATTCAAAGTAGTTTCAGATTCCTTTGTGGCATCCTCTGTGATCCACAGATTACTTTTAAAAGTATGTCAGTTTGTAGGTGGTGAGAGTTTATGTCAGCCTTTTGATCTTATCCCCCTTTTTTTAATACTGGTTTGTATACTTTGTGTTTCACACTATCCTTCATTCACATTGTGTTTCATACAATCATTTTCATTCATTATGTTTTGTAAACTCAATCACCTTTAAACCATGCCACAATTACCCTGTCTTTCCAGATCCCTGCTAGATCTTTCCCATTGCCTTTACCCCTCATCCCCCCCACCTGCAATGTTATTCTATTTTGACTGGCTAAAGTATCCTAGAAATGCTAGGGGAAAGCAAGTGAGTGTTGACATTACAATCCTTGCTAATTTTCTGTTACTGAGAAAGGAGTATTGAGATCTCCATGATTCTGAATTTGGCTCTCTATTTGGTTCTGCTCAATTAAAACAAGCTTGGAAGGAAGAGTGGCATCCACTTCCGTAATAGAAACCTCTAGAAACCTTTTGAACCTGGAGAGAGAATGAAAGACACCCAAGTGTTGAGGACTCTCCTTCATAGGGTTGCTGGTAGTCTCCTGTGACTCAGTGGCACTTAACAACAACAACATTTGGTTCTGTTAGTCATTGTTTCTTGTATTTTAAAGCTTTGCTGTTGAACACAAAGAAACAGAACTATTATGTTTTCTTGGTCAACAGATTCTTTTATTGTGTGCCTTTGGCATCCCTTGTGATTTTCTTTTCTTTGAAGTTGAGATTGATATCAGAATTGTCACTCTAGCTTTCTTTCGATTCATGTGTGTATGGCATATGTTTTTCCATCCTTCTTACAGGTTTTCCTTTCCTCCTTTTACTTTCTACCAACCCTTCATCTTTTTATTTGAAGTGAGTTTTGTGTAGATCCAATTCATGTAAAATTGGATCGCATTTCCTTTCCACCTCCTTCCAACCCATTCTGAAAATCTCTGTTTTCACTCATGTATTTAAACTATTTATACTTAATGTAGCATTGACTTTTTGGAAAGAAGGCTTCGCATCATAAGTCTTTTTTTTCTTATTTTTATGTTTTCTCTTTTCCTATATTTTTGTGAATTCTCTGAATTTTTTAGTGTGCCATTTTTATTTAAGTATATTAACTCTTATCTCCCTGTCTAGATTTTTTTTTAGCGATTGCTTAAAGAATTTTAAAATACATACTTTTTCATAGTTTATTTGGAATCCATAATTGAACCATTTTATTTGGAATGTAGAAACCTTGCTAACCCTTTATACTAGTTCTATATATGGTACATTTCCATACATTAACATTCCCATCAGACAGTGTTAACATTTTTGTATTCAATTGTTCAGCACACTTTTATAAATTTTTTTTTTTATGGTGAGAAAAATTTATTACATTTAGAATTAGCCCGCTGGACTCAGTTTAGATGATTCCAATTTTGTTGGCAACATCCAAAGCATCATAATCAGGAGCAAGTCGAACATAGGCCTTCTTCTCTCCATCAGGTCTAATCAAAGTGTTGACCTTAGCCACATCAATGTCATAGAGCTTCTTTACAGCTTGTTTAATTTGGTGCTTATTGGCCTTGACATCCACAATGAACACAAGTGTGTTGTTATCTTCTATCTTCTTCATGGCTGACTCAGTGGTCAGGGGAAATTTGATGATGGCATAGTGGTCAAGCTTGTTTCTCCTGGGAGCGCTCTTCCTGGGGTATTTGGGCTGCCGTCAGGGTCTCAGCGTCTTAGGCCGCCGGAACGTGGTTGACGTGCGGATCTTCTTTTTTTTTTTTTTTTGGGCTGTGGGCGCCCTTCAGGACTGCCTTCTTGGCCTTCAATGCCTTTGCTTTGGCTTCAGTTTTGGGAGGGGCAGGGACTTCCTTCTTCGCTTTCGGCGCCATCTTCATAAAAAGGCACTTTTATAAATTTTTAAAAATTTTAAAAAGGCAAAAAAAGGTACCATAGCTCTGCTTTTTTTTGGTAGTGTCTTAATTTTTTTTCCCCTTTGCCATTCTTTGCAGCAATTAAATTATATTGTTTCTGTGTTTAGATATATTTGGAGTTTTTTCTCTTTGGGATTTATTCAGATTCCAGAATTTGTACCTTTATATTCTCTACCAAAGCTGGGGTGCTTTCAGCCATCCTTTCTTCAGGTATATTCATATATTGCTTAACTCATGATACAGTTTGTCAGCGAGGACACTGTAGGATTTGGATGTTGTGCAGACACCATACCATCGGCCCTGGGAAGGGCACAAGTGGGCACTAAAAAAAAAATAAAACAAAAAACCCACCATCATGTCATGTGCTGCATGCCATCCGTTTGGTCATTGTCTGACTGCATATATGAGTGTCTGTGATCCCATCCTCCAGAGTTGGTGCTGCACATGGACTTGGGCTTCTAGGCTGGATTGCAGTTTGCCTCTGACCACATCTGAACTTACAGGGCCCACTCCCTTGCCAAAGAAGTCTGGTCATGTGTTGGGCTGCTAACCTAGAGGTGTGCAGTTCAAATCCACCGGCTGCTCAGGGGAGGAAGATGAGCCATCTGCTCCCATAAAGATTTACAGCCTTGGTAACTCCGTGGAAGGTCACCATGAGTCGTCATTGACTCAAGGGAAGCGAGTCAGTTTGAGGTGGGTGATCCTTTGCCAGATAGATTTCAGTTTAATCTCAGCAAAGCAGCAGATTTTTAAATGTAGAGGTCTCTGAAGACAACTTGAACCCAGCCAGGCCGTGTGCGTGCATCACCAACCTGCAAGTTGAGGTCCACTGACCTGCATGTAGATGGACATTGCCTGAGTGGACATTACACGGCGCACAGTTGTATATGTTCAGCACTGCACACATTCACTTGTCCTTCAGGATCCCAGTGGCCTGAATGTTGGCCCTTTTGTTATTGTCTTGCCGGTCCTGGTGCACATTCCTTTTTCTCTTGCTTCAGATTGGACCATCTCTGTTGGTGCATCATCACACCAGCCAGCCTTTTTTGGTGATATTCTCACTCTGCCGTTGAGTCTGTCTTTTGGGTTTTAATTCCCATTAATATACTTTTCACTTCTAAAATACCCTTTGAGTCTTCTTGACATTTTCAGTGTCTTTGCTGAGATAATTTAGTATTTATTGCCAAGAATATCTGTAGTTTTTCCAAAAGCTGCCTGAGGTCTTTGTTGAAAAATTGCAGTTCTGTGCCATCTTGGTCTTGATGTCTGTTGATTGAATTTCCACATGGAAGCTGGCATTTTCATGAATTATGCTGAATAATTTGGGGTTGTGTCTTAGACTTTTTTTTTTATTTATTATTCATTTCAATGAAGATTTACAGAGACTTTGGATTTCCATTCATTCATTCATTGTTGCACTTTTCTCCCCTCCCAACTCTCCCCCCTAGTCTAGTACACTACCCTCTTGGAAAAGTGAAAAAATTCTTTCATTGTTTTATAATCCCTCCTCCCTGGTCCACTCCACTATGCAGCCTTCGCTCTGGATTCTCATCATGACAAAAATACCTAATCACATATCCCTTTTAAACAGTTCTCTCTCTGTCATCTGTTCCAATGCAGTATACATTATGGAACCCATCTTTCTCAGTTCCCCCCCACCCCCAATGTCAGTCCTGTTTTACAACAGTGGCACCATGCAGTATTTGTCCTTTTGTGACTCATATATTTCACTCAGCATAATGTCCTCCCGGGTCACCCATTTTGAATAATATTGCATGAGAGTTCCTTGTTTTTCAATGCAGCATAGTATTCCATTGTGTGAATATACCACAGCTTCTCTATCCATTTGTTTGTTGATGGTCACTTAGGTTGTTTCCAACTCCTTGCTATTGTAAACAAAGCCACAATAAACATGGGTGTGCATATACTTTGGACCTTTTTTTAAATATTAAAATTCTAGATCTTGTGGATATCATATAGGAAACACTGATGCTTTAGTTTATACTGGCAGTTAGTTTGTCTAGATTCAGGCCATAGTCCCACCCACCCAACCTCCTGTGGGCTCCATTCGTTCTCGGGGGTAACCTGGGTCATATTCAACTCTACAAGCTTACGTTCACAAGCTTCTCCCTCTTATGGTCTTCCTGGTATATTCTGCTTGCCTAAGACTCTTCCCTTTTGATTCTTGCCGTTAAACATTTAAAGTCTTGGGAATTCAGGTTCCCTATTCTGTCATAAATATTTATGAGCAGGCCATTTCCTTGACTGAAGTAAAGTAGGGCAGAAAGAGAAAAGAGCAGTGACTTTTGCCCCACCCTTTTGGAGCTTGCCTTACACCTTCAGATGCCTGGGCCTGGGCTCCAGAATGAGAGCGAGACCAGTGCGTGGGCTGTGGATATCAAGAACCCATCTAGTTCGCGGCCAGATGGGGCTGCTTTCCCAGAGCACTTTGTGCTGCTGTGTCATTCCTGGCATCCGTTGACCCTGGGGGGTACACAGCTTGCAATGGCCCTCCTTGACCCTCTGCTGGCCATTACTTTCCAGTGTCCCATGGTTGCACTGAGCCTTTACCAGGTTTTATAGTTGTAGCAGGTGGCCAGTGGCCAAGAAAGGGAGTTGCATGCCGATTTCCACATGGACTTGCCTGTTGTTTGACAGGGAACTAGATGAGCCGTGGTGGTTTGGCTTCGGTCTTGAATGGCCTCATTTGGCGGTATCTGAATGGACATGATTGATTCTGCTATATGAGCCGTGATGAAGTGCCCTGATTCTAGAAAGCAGGTGGCTGGGACGCATCCATGTTGAACTCTTCTGTACATTGTGCTGTGGCTCTGCATCGAGATTCAGACAGCAGCATGAGAGTGCGTGGCTATCCTAGACTCTTCAGTTAAGTTGTATATGGGAGTTCTAGGCCCGAAATGGGCAGGAGTAACTGTCCAGATAATATGTGGATGTGCAAAGCCATCCCAGACACCAGTGTGGGCCTGCTTAACCATGCCTAGACACAAGAGTGGTTCTAGGCAGCCGTCGAGGGCAGCAGTGGGGCCTGGGAAGCTGTTTGAACACCATTGCTTGCCATGAACAGCTGTTCTAGACACCAGCGTGAATGTCCATATGCATGGGACTTAGCACCTCTGTTCCAGACACCAGTATGGGCCTGGACAGCTATTGTAGACACAAGCATGAATGCCCATATGCCTATGTGGGCCTGGGCAGCTGTTCTGGACATGAGGGTGGGTCTAGGCAGCTGTTCTGGATACCGGTGTAGGCCTCTGCAGCTGTTCTAGACAGCAGAGTGGGTCTAGACTTCAGAAAGGTCCTGCATGGTTGTCCTTGATTCTGGAGTGGCCCTGCACTGTTGTCCCAAACATTGGAGTGAGTCTGCGTGCTTGTCCCTGACACTGGAGGCGCCGTCATAGCCATCCTGGACACCAGAGTGGGCCTGCATGGCTGTCTTCAACATCGTATTGGGACTCTGTGGTTGGCCCACACACCAGAGTAGTCTATCTACATGGTGGTCCTGGACACCAGAGTGAATCTACATGGCCATCCCGGATATCAGAGTCAGTCTGTGTAATTGTCCTGGACACTGGAGTGGGCCTGCGTGGTGGTCCTGGACACCAGAGTGAGTCTGCGTGGTCATCCCGACACCAGAGTGGACCTGCACTGCCATCCCAGACACTAGAATGGGTCTTCATGGAATGAGCCTGCACTGCCGTCCTGGACACAGGAATGGGTCTGTGTGGCTGTCTGGACACTGGAGTGGATCTGCACGGCTGTACCGGATATCGGAGGGGATCTGCATGATGTCCCAGAACTGGGGTGGATCTGCATAGCTGTCCTGGACCCTGGAGGGGATCTGCATTGACCGTCCTGGACACTGGAGTGGATCTGCATAGCTGTCCTGGACCCTGGAGGGGATCTGCATTGACCGTCCTGGACACTGGAGTGGATCTGCATAGCTGTCCTGGACACTGGAGTGGATCTGCATGGCTGTCCTGGACACAGGAATGGATCTGTGTGGCTGTCCCAGACACTGGGGTGGATCTGCATGCCTGTCCTGGACACTGGAGTGAGCCTGCACTGCCATCCCAGATGCTGGAATGGGTCTGTGGCCATCATGGACACTGGAGTGAGCCTGCACTGTCATCTTGGACACCAGAGTAGGCCTGCATGGATGGTTGTCCCAGACACTAAGTGGGCCGGCATGGATGTTCCCAATGTGTATACTGAGCAACTCTCTGCCCAGATTGGAACTACTGCTAGTGAATCCTGCCTGAAGCTTCCCAGGATTCTGTGTAAGCCTGCTTGCTTTTTACGTTTAAATTGTGAGCTGAGACAGTCTCACGGACTGCACTCCTGTGCTCCTGGCCTGGAGATTCTTGTGTGAATTGTTTGCTGAGTCAGAACTTAGCCCATCACGAGAGGGGAGCCACTCCCACTAGGACTGGACTGGAGAGTGCTGGGTGGAGGCCCCCCAGCCACGAGGCAATACCCGGAGGACACTGTCCCTCCACAGGTCCACGAGGAATCACCCAGGAACCTGCTCTTCTTCCTGGTCCCTGAGGCCAAGGTTGGGCCCAGGCATGTGCTCAGATGCCCCAGTGTGAGCCTGCTTGTCCAACTGGAGAGCAAGTTGGTCTTTGCCTCAGAGTCTGGAACCCAGATGGCACACATCCTTAACCAGAGCTGTGACCCACAGGAGCACAGATGCAAATCGAGGAGTCCCTGACCAGCCTGGAGAGACAGGAGAGGCTGTAGTGAATGGAGTTGGTGGGTGGGGTGGGCGGCTCTGTGTGTTGGGGAGTGGTCATGGGCAGTAGCCAGGGAGCTGGGAGGGGCCGTGATACGACGTGGAGGCGGGTGTGGGGAGCAGCCCCCCAGGGCCTGAGCTTGCAGCCCCTGTAGCTCCCACCACTGTAGACTTTCTAGTTCATGGAAGGACCCCAGGTTGAAGAAAGGCTGATTCTAGCCACAGTGATTTCACAGTGCCCCCTTGGTGAGCCCCAGTGTCCCCATCCTGAGTCACTGAGGGGAGGGCCCCCAGTACCCACCTGGTGGTAGGCCGGCAGGTTTGAAGCTGTCCTCACTGGAGGGGGTCGTCAACGGCAGCGTGTGGCTGGTGTAGGGGGGGCTTGTTTCTGTTCTGCATTCATTGGTGGTGACTGCCAGACTCCCTGTTGGCAGGGGAGCACAAAGGGGTGAGGGCCATTGGGCACGGCCAGAGCCTCCCCAAGCCCAGGCAGAGGAAGAGATTCCAGAATGTTCAGTCTGGAGTGGCAGGGCAGTCAGTGTGGGTGGAGGCCTAGGTGGAGCCACGGTCTGCCTGGGGGTCAGAGCAATCCCTGGACAGGGCAGCTGGGTGCCAGCGATGAGGACTGGGGACTTGGTCACTCGGACAGGGTTCCAGGCCCACAGTGGTGAGGGCCCTTGTTGGGGGGCAGGTATGGCCTAAGGCCTGGGGTGACCAGATGGGGACTGAAAAGCTTGCCAGCTAGCGGTCACTAGGGCGTGGAGGTGGGGGTGATGGGAGGCGGCCTGGGTGGGAGACGCAGGGCCTGACCTCCCCTCATGACAGCTGCCCACCCCCAGGTGAGTGCCAATGGGAACGTGCTGCGCAGCGAGATCGTGGGCTCCATCAAGATGCGGGTCTTCCTGTCGGGCATGCCCGAGCTGCGCCTGGGCCTCAACGACAAGGTGCTCTTCGACAACACAGGCCGTGAGTACCAGGCGTGGGCAGGCAGCGCTCCCCCGCGGGACGCGTCCCGGGGGCCAGGGCCCGAGTGGAGGAGAGTGGCGGTTCTGCACCAGTTCAGGAGTACGGAAGCTCCGTGTCACACGGAGAGAGGCTGTGTGAACCAGTGCCTGGGTGTGGGCACCCAGGAGCGTGGAAACCCTGTAGTGGCGTCCATGGCGGTGACACCCAGAAAGGACCATGTCATGAGTGTCCGTCGGCACAGCCAGGCCTCAGGACCCTGCCCCACCCACGCTGTTCTCCTGACCCTTCTCAGACCCATGACCTCACTCTTTGGTCCCAATCCCCATTCCCTGCTGAGGTGGCACGTCACATCTCCCATGAAGTGCACCCTTCCACACCAACCACCCCGTGTTCCTGCTTTCTAGGGTAGTCTGGGCACAGACACGGACAAGAGCCGAGTGCACAGCCCTTCTGTGCCAGGGAAATCTGGCACCAGGTGGCCAGCAGGTCCAGGGTCTGGGGACCCCTCCTCAGCCCTTGCACTTGCACTTGCTCCTGGGTCTGGGTGCCATGGTGTCCAGTCCTGCCCTGGTGGGGCACATGAAGCGTGAGGGTACACAGGACTTGGGCCCTCCATGCTTGTGTCCCAGGTGCTTCCCCTCATCTGGGAGGTCTTCTCTCCAGAGTGGCACTGTGGTGGGAGTGCTGCGGAGGGTAGCTTAGGGTCTAGAGTCTGTTCTGTGCTGGGCCGCCTCACTGCGTCCTGCCTCCCACAGGAGGCAAGAGCAAGTCCGTGGAGCTGGAGGACGTCAAGTTCCACCAGTGCGTGCGGCTCTCCCGCTTCGAGAACGACCGCACTATCTCCTTCATCCCCCCTGACGGCGAGTTCGAACTCATGTCCTATCGCCTCAACACTCACGTGAGTCATTGCACGGGGCCTAGGTGGAGACGGGGGTGAGGGGCCAGCAGGCCTCCTCATCTGTGGAGTTGAGGACCAGGGAGGTGGCCCAGTGTTCTTAGTGACCTGCTCTTCTATTTGTGGGAGTGGCCAGATCTCAAAGGCATTGAGAGTAAGAACCCAGAGGGTAGGCCCGTAAATGCTGGGAGTTTTCATCTACACCCCTGCTACCCTGCCTCTGGTGGCCTGGGGTGAGGAGCTCTGAGTTCCTCAGCTCCCCCCTGAGGAACTGACCCCACTGACCACACAGCTCTGGCACCACTGGAGATCACCCCACAGCCCTGGGGTGCACTGGGGGACAGAGGGCACACGGCTGAGAGTCTTGACCTGGTGTGGATGTGGCCTTTGCTCTCCTGACAGGTGAAGCCCCTGATATGGATCGAGTCTGTCATCGAGAAGCATTCCCACAGCCGCATTGAGTACATGATCAAGGTGTGTGCTTGGTCTCTCCTCCCGCGGTGCTAGCCCCACCATGAATTCTCCCTCCTAACCCCTCTGTGAGTTCCGTGTCCCTCCCTGACCCCTCTGTGAGTTCCGTGTCCCTCCCTGACCCCTCTGTGAGTTCCGTGTCCCTCCCTGACCCCTCTGTGAGTTCCGTGTCCGTCCCTGATTCCTCCGTGAGCTCCACGTCCTTCCCCGACCCCTCCATGATCCCTGTGTCCCTCCCCAACCCCCTTCTTAACCCCTGTGTCCCTTCCTGACTCCTCCGTGAGCCCTGTGTCCCTCCCCGACCTCCTTCTTAACCCGTGTCCCTCACTGTGAGCTCTGATATGAGAAGGGCTTAGAGTATCAGGGACACATTCTGCCCATTAGCTGGGCTGCTCCCGTCCTTGGATGTGCTGCCCCCATGGGGAAAGGGCCACAGCTAGTGCCCAGAAAAGCTAAGCAAAGGTACCCCTTCCTGAGATGCATCCTCAGGCCAAGCTTCACTGCAGGGGACCTGTGTCCTAGGAGGTGGGGCTGGGCTGGTAGAAGGACCTCCTGTACCCACGGGTACAGGGTAGGACTGAAACTCCACAGTCTGTGTGGAGGGAGCCTCAGGAGCCACGTGTCCTCATCCAGGCCAAGAGCCAGTTCAAGCGGCGTTCAACAGCTAACAATGTGGAGATCCACATCCCTGTGCCCAACGACGCCGACTCACCCAAGTTCAAGACCACTGTGGGCAGTGTCAAGTGGGTGCCGGAGAACAGCGAGATCGTTTGGTCCATCAAGTCCTTCCCGGTGAGGTGCCTGCAAGCGCCGGATGTGCTGCTGCAATGGGGGGGCTGGGAGTTCACACCACTGGGCTATGCCCAGGGGAGCAGCCTCACAGTGCCCCCATACCCTCTGCTTCGTGGGGTATCTGTGTCGCCAGCTTCGTGTGATGCCCTCCTGAGAGATCCTCTCTCAGGAGCTGGTGCCCCAGTTTGCCTCCCCCTGCCTTGGCAGTGTCTGAGTTCTCTAATGCTGCTGTGACAGATCCCACAGCCAGTGGTTCTGACTGTGACAGTTTAGGAGGTGAGAGGTGTGAAGTGCGGTGCCGTCTCTAAGGCAAGGCCTGTCTACTCTGTGGGCAGCTCTGCTCCTGGACTTTCTCCATGTGTCCTGACATCTCTCTCCAAGTCTCTCTTCCACTCACTTGTTTAATCCCTTTTAGCTCAAGCGAGATTGACTCAGAGGGACCCTACACTAACCCTGTCCCATTAGTGTAGCAAACACAGTCGGTTCCCAAAGGAGATTCTAACCACAGCACAGAGGTTAGGATTTACAACACATGGATTTTGGGGACATCATTTAATCTGTGACAGGAAGCCAGCATAGTGGGGGTCCCACCACCCAAGGCCATCCCTCAGAGAAGATTCAGAACTCTAGGGACAGACAGACTTTAGGCTGGACCATCGTGGGCTTCTGGAACCCAGCAGCTGCTCCCGAAAGGTGGTTTCACCCTGCGCCTCACTCTGCTGGAGCCACAGTTTAGGCACGTCTGCTGACGCACTCTGAAGGCTGGAGCCTGGGTATGCGGAGCAGTGCCCCCAGCGGCTGGACTGTGGCTGTGTGCGCTGGGCTTTGATGGGCATCTCGGCCTGCTCGTTCACAAAGGGTCCTCAGCAGTCACTGCCTTTCCCATATCCTCCACGCTCTTTCTCTGTATCTCTGCCTCTCTCTCTCTCTCTCTCTCCCTCCATCTGTCTGTCTCTCCTCTCTCATCTCTCTTTCTCTCTTGGTCTCTCTCAAGACTCTTCTCCCTCCCTCCCTCGTCTGGATCCCTAGAGAACAGTGGGGACACCCCTGCTGGAATGTGCAGGGGCTTGAGTACCAGACTTTACATGTATGTGTTAGTATCTTCCCTCAGCACACTAGAATAATCCCACTACGTTGGTTAAGCACTTGACTGCTAATTGGAAGGTCAGCTGTTCAAATCCACCAGGTGCTTCACAAGAGAATGATAGCACAGTCTTGCTTTCATAAAGACGACAGTCTTTGAAACCCCCCAGGGCTGTTCTGTTCCGTCCTCCAGGATCTTGAGTCAGAACCACTTCCATGGAAATGGATTTGGAAGTTCTCACAGAGAATGGGGAGAGAAACTGTGGCATTCCACGCAGGAAACAGCACCATTCGCCTTTTGACATACTGCATTCTGAACTCTTCATGTGTTGTTTCATTTTGTGCTAGTTGTAAACAGAACTTGAGCCATCGTTGTGGGTTTTTTCCACTCATTTTGAAGTTGCTGTCTTATTGGCAGCGATATAATATTCCACAGAGGGTGGTTACTGTCCGGAACGGACAGGCTGTTTCCTTTGTTTGTCAGATTTCATGGCTGACAGTAATGCTAATGTTAAAAAAAAAACACAGTGGAAAAAAGATCATAAAACAAACAGCCTGGGTAACGTCCAGGGGAGAAGGCTGAGGGCGCAGAGGCCGCAGGCGTGGGCTTACTTGTGTTGTAGGTTTGACTTGGGGATTGCAGTGCGGCTTCTCCCACTAGGCCACCAGAGCTCCCAATGGAGGTTTGACTTGGACAGCTTGTGAATGTTCTGAAGAGTGTAAAGCAGAATTAACCTGGCGGGGCGAGGGTCGGGGGTGGAGAGGGCATGTCATACCTGAATGTTAAAAGCAAAATTCATTTAAAACCTGTCAAGTTGACTACCACATACAGTAATGACAGGCAGCGTGTCCTGAGGACTGAAAGGACAACCAGCCAAACAGATAAAAACCCTCACCTGCAGTCTGTACATATCCTGGGTCCTTTCTCTTCAAGTTCTGTGTTCAGTTAGGTTTATGAATACTTGAAATGCATGGATGATTCGAGGGTCCTGGATGATGCAGACTTTTACAGCCCCAGGTTCTACTCCCCAAACTGGGATGGAGAAGGTTGTGTTATGTGCTGAGTCGTGCCAGTCGTCCTAGCTGTCTCCCTAGGTGAGGGTCCTTATCAAACCCAGTGACTGAAAAGTTTCTATGGCTGTGACCTCCCACCCCTGAGGGAACTCATAGAGTTAAGTATGTGGAAAACATACCTGTGAGTGTAGTCTTGAGTAACCTCTCACACCTATTTCATGTACATATCTACTTATACTCACTCAGAGATGGTTACTTACTGTTGTTCCAGGGTTGTATGTGTTTATACTGTTGACCATGTTATCAGGTGTCCCCTTTGCGATCCTAACCTGTGGTCATGGCTGGGGTCGACGCCCATTGTTGAAGCCACTATGTCAGTCCGTCTCCTTCAGAGTCTTCCTCCTTTCCGCTGGCCCTCTGCTTTACCAAGCATGACGTTCTTCTCCGGGACTGGCTCGCCTGATAGTATGTCCTGAGAACATGAGGTGAAGTCTCACCATCCCCGCTTCTAAGGAACACTCAGATTCACTTCTCCCAACACAGACTTGTTTGTTCTTTTGGTGGTCTATGGCTATATTCTGTACTTTTTTACCAAAGCTACTTCTGAAAGGTATCAGTTCTCTTCAGTCTTATTTTTTGCCCAAGTTTGACATGCATCTGAGGCAACTGAAAATATCGTGACGTGGGTCAAGTATACCTTAGTCTTCAGAATGATTAGAGGGTCAAGGACTGTAGTCAGCAATCTGGATTGAAGTTCGATATCAAGAAAATGAAGATTCTCACCATTAGGCCAATTGGCAGCATCATGATATCTGGAGAAGAGATTGAAATTATTAATAATTTCAGCTTGTTTGGTTCCACAATCAACACTCTTGCCAATGTTGTTGAGTCCCATAGAGTCTGAATCGACCCATAGCAGACTCTCTGGCGAGTTTTCAGAGGCAGTTAATCGCACAGGAGAAGATTGCCTATCCTTCTCCTGCAGAGCAACTGGTGGCCTCAAACCGCATGCCTTTGGGATTGTAGCGCAGCTTCTTGCTACTAGCAAATTACATTAGGAAAATCTGCTGTCAGGGACCTCACCAGAGTGCTAAAGAGCAATGATGTAAGTTTAGAGACTAAGGTGTGCCTGATCCAAGCCATGGTCTTTGCAATTAGTTGTTATGCATCAGAGAGCTGGTCAGTGACAAAAATGACTGAAGAAGAATCTATGCCTTTGAATTGTGGTGCTGGAGAAGAGTATTAAACATACCATGAACTACCAAGAGAACGAACCAATTTGTCCTAGAGAGGGTAAAGCCAAGCTGTTCTTTGGAGGCAAGGATTTTGTAGTTCCCATCTCACATGCTTTGGGCATGTGGCCAGGAGAGACCAGTCCTTGAAGAAGAACATAATGCTTGGAATGGTGGAGGGACAACACAGGAGAGGAAATGAGGGTAGATGTGTCAGAGAGAGTGAGATTGGCTCCAGTCAGAGCAGGCTTCAGAGCAGGTGCATAAGGTCACTATGAGTTGTGGTTTACTCGATGGCATGTAACAACAACAATACCTTGAAGGACTTTTGAAGTCGATTTACCTAGTGCAGTATATCATTACTTTTTTTACTGCTGATTGCATGGCTATTGATTGTGAATCCAAGCAGAATGAAATCCTTGACAACTTCAGTCTTTTCTCTGTGTATCATGTTACTTCACTGGTTGACTTTTGAGGGGTTTTACTTTGTTTATGTTGAGGTGCAGTCCATACCGACAGCTATAGTGTTTGATCTTTATTAGTAAATGCTTCAGGTCTTCTTCACTTTGAGTAAGCAAGGTTGTGTCGTCCACATATCACCAGTGGTCCTGGTGCTGCACTGTTCTCCTAGCCCACCATTCTTCTCTATCGGTTTGTCATGTTGTGATGACGCCTATGGTGCTTTGATGCTCAAAGCTATGCGAGCAGTAGTCCACGTATGAGCAGGTTCACCGTGGTGCCCAGGTTTCAGGAGAGCATCCAGGCTAAGACAGCAGGAAGGAGGAACTACTGACCCACTGCTGATCCAAGATGGCCAGTGAAAGCCCACAGAAGAGCCCAGGACATTGTCTGCCGCAGTGTCGGAAGGTGCGTCCCTCGGGTTGGAAGACCTTCAGAATATGACTGGGGAAGAGCTGCCTCTTCAAAGGAGAATTGGCCTTAAAGATCTTGATGAAATTAAGTTTTGGGAACCCTCATTTACTGATGTGGCTTGACTCAAAGTGAGAAGAAACAGCTGCTAGCACTCATTAAAAACTAAAATGTGACATGTATGAAGTATAAATCTAGGAAACCTTGGAAGTCATCAGAAAGGAAAAGGAATGCTTGCAGGTTGCTATCCTAGGCGGTTAGTGAGCTGAAATGGACTGGCGTCAGTCCTGCAGGATGATCTAGTCATGTGGTCTGTTTATGCTGGCAGATTGAAGAGGAATGTCATCACGTTCATTGTCAGAAAGAACATTTCTGAATCACACTGTGTGTGAGAGGATAATACTCGTGTGTCTACATGAAGATTGGTTCATATGATGATTATTCCAATTTATGCACAAATGACCAAAGCCAAAGATGAAGAAATTCTGCAATCTGAAATTGTTCAGACATGCACTCAAGATACAGTTCTAATTTTTCAGTGATTAGAATGTGAAATTAGCAACTCTGAACAGCAGATATGAACCTCACCGTCTCCTGTGTCATTCTCACCATTTATGATAAACTCGAGCTCGTTGTCACAAGTCACTGTGTCGATCCATCTTGTTGAAGGTCTTCCTCTCTCTCTGACCCGCATAGCGTTTCCCAATATAATATCTTTTTCCAAGGACTGACCTCTTCTGGCAACATGCCCAGAGTATGTGACACAAAGTTTCACTGTTCTTGCCTCCAAGAGGCACCCTG